ATTATTATTATAAAAATTTATTATTAATGAAAAATCTAATAAAAGACAGATTAAACCCATGAAGTGCTGATTGAGTTCTAGCTTATGATAAACGTCTAACAAAAGGAACAAATATTTATGTCGGAGAAAAACAATTGTCTGCTCCTTAAAATTTTTGTCAAGCTGCGTTCTTGCCTTGAAGAATATGCCAAGCAAAGGATAAGAAGCAAGGTTTTTAAAATCGGACCGGATCGGCTAGTTGAACCGGTTTGACCGGTATTCGGTGATAAAATGGTTCGATCTATATAAGAAAATCGTTTGATGTTAAAACCGATCAAAACCGATTAAATCGGTCAAATCATTCAAAATCGGTCAAAAACCGATAAAAACCAATAAAAACCATTAAAAACCATTAAAAACCGATGAAAACCGATGGAACCGATGAAACCAAAAAAACCACCGGTTCGATTTCTCATGCAATCTTCTTTCAATTTTTTTCAATTTCACCCTTCCCATTCCTTTCTTATACCTATTTTAACCTTTAATTTTAACAAAATTACAAAATTATCAACACCAAATTAAAAAATCCATGCCTGCAGGTTGCTCCTCTCATCAAATCTTCCTTGCTGTTTGGACCGACTGGTTCTCCAGTTCAATCGATTGAACCGATTAAACCAAAAACCAAACCTAAAAACGGTTCAATAACTTATTCGGTTTTATAAACCTTGATAAGACGAACATTATGTCAATCGTGATGATGAAAATGATGATCATGGTGATGACAATGATAATCATGATGAGAACAGACCGTGGTAACAATAATTATGATAGCAAAGCTAGTTATAACGAATATGTTGAGGATGGTGAAAATGATGAAGATGAACAAACTTTGAACTGAGTCTAATGGGAGTAAATTTCGACAAATGAAAATCTGATACATTAGTCACGTAATTCTCGTTTAAGGGAGAGGAAACTTTCCTAGCATGAAGTTGGATGCTTCCAATGGATTTCATGCAAGGTCTCCAAAGAAGTCTTCATTTTTTATATTTTTCTCTTTTCTTCTATTTCAGGTCTAGGATAACTATTGAATCATAAGCTCTTTATTTTGCTTTTCTAAAGTGTTGTTGATTTTATGACCATTATACACATTAAAAAATAGATGTTGCCAAGAAAAAGGAGGACAAATTAAAGTGACACCCTGTTTTCAGTTCTATTTTTAAAAAGGAATATTAAAGTGACATTCAAAGGGACTTTAATGTTAATGGCATTAGAGTGGCGGGGTCATTAATCCAGGCCTCATAGAATTCAACCAAAGACTTGCA